ATTTTGACCCTTTGTGTGGGGTACCTGTAGGAGTGCACCGTCTGCATTGTTAAGCCTCTTTTTGGTTGATACTTGATGAAGTGAGCCGATATATTCCATTTTCGTACCTATATTGGGAATATATTGTACATATATTGGGAATTGCAAAGTTTACTTAAAATTGGCAGATCCTTTCTTGTTCTATGTTTTGGTCACATCAAATTATATATACCCTCTGTAGCCATGTGGCTGAGGGTATAATTAGAATGTAGGTATTTAAAACCTCGGAACAAAATTCAACATTTTTGCAAGATGACTATCTTCGGGATTCCCTCATATGAGCATCAGAAACCATTCATTCTCGGCCAAAGGGGCTAATATTCTCCTAAAATTGATACATTATTGAAGACACACACACACACCACACACATTCACTTACATGCCCACATACATTACTATGCAGCTTAAAATACATACAAATATTAAGTTGTTGGTTGCTTGGTTAGGTAAGGTTAGGTTAATATCTAGTTTTGTGGCTTTGACAACATGTTAGCTACACGTCTTCGTTTCTTGCCTTCGGCTAAGCTCGGTGTGTGCCACACATTAAGATTAATCGTACTGATTAAACACACGCAGCTTTTGCAAGCAATTCCCCCAACTATTTGCCATGCGATTGTTTTGTTGTACTGGTGCTGTTGTCCGCCCCGTGATGCCTTTCTGTGGTGACTTATCCCTGCAATTATTTCAAATGACTTTCGGTAAGTGGCGCTATATCCGCTGAGCCTTAGGAGACATTTATTTACATTCATTCGTTCGTTCAATTATTTTGACCGCATTTATGCATGTTAGTGTAGTTAAACGTGTGTGTGTGTGCGGTAGTTTGGTCTGGCGTGGGTATGTGTGGATAGTTTTCTGTTTACCAGTTTCTTTGGAAGATATGTAATTCCCTATCAACGGGAGAGCGGAAAATGATCTCAATTGTTAATTACAATGCAGTTGGTTGGTAAGCCTGGGGATTTCAATGATGCTTTGCGGGTATCTCTTTAATTATTGAAAATTGTCGAGATATTTTTAATTAATTAAATATGTTTTGGCGGGTGTAATAGTGGCATATGCTTTTATTTGTTAAAAGATAGCAACTAAAAAGTGCAGTTGTTTATTTGTCATATATGTAGATATGCAGGGTGCAATTTGCCACAACCTTGTTAGTTAAATCTTAAGGTGTCGATTGTAATGTCGATTCATGTTTTCGTATAGGCTCCTTAAAACAGTACCCCTCAATATTTGATATTTTTATCACAAATTTGGAAACGGAACATTTTTAAACTTTTTATTTGAAAGTGGACATAGATACCAAAACCTGTGCCAGAAAATTGTAAAGAAAGCGGTTCCGCCCATTTTATGCAATTTTGAGGACTTTATCGGGTTCGATGTGCCAAAATCCAACAAATTTTTGGATGATATTACACATTTGTTTCACAATGAACTTAAAATCGAAATCAGGAGTATATGGAAGCTAAATCCAACTCTTAATCAATCTCGACAAATTTTGCCATGGGTATTTATAAGGTGTATCTGATATCTTGTCCAAAATATCGTCATTAATGAGGGTACATTACGGCTGTGGAGGGTACATTAAGCCTATATTTAGTGTTTTATGTGAACTAATTTTTATAGTTTGACATTTCCTTCTGATTCTCTGTATTTTGGCGCTCTCCCTCCCAACTTCCACCTGAATCAGGTACAATTAAACATTTCGACTTTTTTGTGGTTAAATTTGCAAATATATGCTATATTGGTCCGATTTTCAGCATTTGAAATTAATGTCTTTAAGAATATTTTCATTGGGTCTAACAGATGTCACGAAGAGAACTTCCTTCATAACCTTCTATGACTGAAGTTGTGATATATTAAATTATATTTTTTCCTACACAGATCATGATTTCATTCAAAGACTTAGTGTAAAACAAGTAAGCAAAGGCTATAGTCGTGCGGGGCTGACCATGTAATAGAAAATCTCCTCTGGCCCAAATCCATAGATTTCGTCTTTGAAATAGTCTCTTAACCCCATATATTGGTCTATAATTGAGACATCTAGAGCAACTGAAAAAAAATTTGATTTTGCTCCATATCAACCCCTAACTATTTTGCGATCATCCCCTCCAAAAATAGGCTTCTAGTAGATCTTAACCCCACATTCATGCAAAATTGTGTGAGGGCCAGATTTGTGACATGCAGTGTGATTACAATTTAACATAGACAGAAGGACGAGCGGGCGGACTTGGTTACAATATTCCACCAGTTAAAGTTATTCCACTGACAGCTCATTATATTGTTTACAAGCGTACAAAAGCCTTTTTGGTGAGAATTTTCTAGAAGAAAGTTATTCGAGATGGAATTTAAGCGATATCTTTATATTCGGCTGGAAACCCACAAGTGACTAACGTTAGTGCACTCCAACATTTAAATGTGTATAAATCTTTTGTGTCTCGTACCATCGCTTGTTATCGTGATAATAGCCCGACGTCAAGGAAGTGGACTGAAGAAAACAGGAACATCAGCAGAAATGGATAGAAAAGTAAAGAAGCGACTTGATCGAAACCCGCGTCGCAGTGGCAGAAAATGGCTCGTGAGCTGAACATATCGCAATATTCCATTCGGCAAATATTGAAAAATGAGCTCGGGGTAAAGTCATTGAAAAACGAACTCCAAAAAGGTAAAAAAACTTACATCGCATCAGTAAGAAAATGGACACAAAAAAGCTAAAGAGTTGCTTCGCTTGGCCGAAAGTGGCGAACTGCCGAATTTGGTTTTCTCCGATAAGTAAACATTCGTTGTCCAGCAGTTTTTCAACCAAAAAATGATCTTGTTTACTTGCCAAAGAGGTTAGCTGAAAATGTGAACATTTGGTTGACCACCAGAACTCAAGCGCCGACCATAGTGATGGTGTGGGCTGCCATAACAGCCGATGATCGCTCTCCGCTCATATTAATCGACCATGGCATCAAAATAAATGTCGAATATTATCGCGAAAATATTCTGGAGGGTGTATTAAAGCCTTGGGCACGCAAAAATTTTGGCCGCAGACCTTGGACATTCCAACAGGACTCATCACCATCAGACTCAGCACGCGCCACCCAAGAATGGTTACAAAATGAGGTTCCTCGCTTCATTTCCAACGCACAATGGCCATCAAAATCTCCGGATACCAATCCGTTGGACTATTGTGTCTAGAGTATTTTGGAATGTAAGGTTGGCACTAAAAAATATCAAAGTGTCGATTACCTCAAGCAAGCACTTCGCCGGGAATGGGCCAGAATACCGCAGAGTTACATTCCGGCAGCATCTGACGGTTTCATTACTAGTTTGAAGGCCATAATTCATGCCAAAGGTGACCAATTCGTACAAATTTAAACTGATTCTAAAATTTGATGCTATTTCAGACATTTTTTGCTTTTATGCAATAAAATATAATAAAAATGTAAAAATTATTCCGTTTGACTTTGTTTCAGTTTTTTTTTTTTATCACACAATACATATGTCATCGGACATTCTATCATATGCTAAAATTAAAAATATCCCTGTTAAAAGCCCAAAGGACGGTTCTTTATATAACCTCTTAAGAATTTGTATCTTAAGATGACTTGCTAAACAGTCTTATCTCTAGGGTACAGGGAGCATCATGCTTGTATTAAATATTTCTAAAAAGTATGCGGTAAATAAAAAGTTTTCTAAATTTATTTGCAATTTATAAAATCTCCCACACTTTCCTTAAACAGCTCTTGTCCGCGAAACTTTGTAAAAATGTAGAAATATTGCCAATGTTTGTTCTTCCGCAGCATTACAGACATATTTCATGTTTCATTGAATGAAATGATGACAATTATTAATCTTCAGCATAGACAACATAACGTGATGCCAGATTTGCTTGCTGCCTTCGAAAAGACAAATTGCACAGGCGATAGGAAACTTTCAACACCACTAACACCCCCATCGCAAAAAAATGCACATACCCATGCATAGCATTTGTGTGGCGATCATGACAAAATTTTCGCAAATGGCTGGCCATTCATTTTGGCCAGTCAATGGAAGTAGCGAAACATCAACAAGTTATTCGCTTGACAATCCCGCAAACGAGGGCGAGAGATGTGGGGGTTGAAACGAAGACGCAAAGAATCAACTCTGTAAATTATAAAAATATCTTATGTTTGCAATCCCTCCACCAAATGGCGTATTGGTGGAGGGGACATTAGAAGTTGGCTAAAATGCTTTGCTGCGCGTAATTTTGTCACACTTTGATTGGCTAAGAGCACAGCTGGGGCCAAATACACACACACACCCACACACACAGACAAAGGTTCCCTAAAGTAAACAGCATGTCATACACAAACTGAGTAGATGAAATACAAACATAGCTGTATATGTGTGTGTGTATGGGTGTACAAGAGTTTGCTGGTATTTGTTTGGGTTGTTTAAGACTATATAATTTGACAAGGATTTCCTTTTAGCCATTCAGCGCATGCCCAGTCTAACAACCACAACATTTATGTTGCAATCCTAAGCACGTGGCAGTTCGATGGCAACATAAACAAGAAATGTTCAGCAACATTTTCTGCAATGTTTTGTTTTGGCATTTCCCGCCAAAATATGTTGAGAAGAAAGACAAAGAGAGAGAGTGTGTGTGCGTCCACCACCTGATTTGCAGAAACATAAACATGTGAGCGTATGAAAAACTCTAAACGAAAACACACCCATACCACCCATGGTACCCCCATCTCTTCGGCCATGTTTACCATTGCAAGGCAACATTTTGTGGCACTTGTGTCTCTTAAGGGTGTTTTGGTGTGCTGTGTTTATTTTTGCCGGCAACGACAATGCCGATGATACCAAAACACAACACGAATAACGACACGAGCGGCTGGACCTTATGCACTTCGTGTGCAGACTGTTGGCGTGTTGTTTACTGTGGCGGCTGATGATAGCAAAACGAAATGTCGGAAAATCAGTTGGTAACGAGTTTTCCGTTAGCATAGACGTTCGTTCGTTACAAGCGCAGTGCAATTCGCCGCTAATAGCCCCGTTATTATTTAAAGGGAAACTAATGTGAAAAACGCATTTCACAAAGAATTCAAAACAAAACGTAGACCAAAAAGGCAAAACCTTGTGTGTCTAACGCGAAATCGCAGTGCATTTGAGTATGAAATTCATTGTGAAGGAATGTCAATTTGTATAACCCAAACAGAGCAAAATATCAAAGTAAAAGTTTTTCGTTTTAAATGAGAAAATTCAAAATAAACAGGAAAAAGTGAAAAATTTGGAAATTTTGCAAATACAAGAAGTAATAAATAAAGTGCCCAAACAATTAAATGTAAAATACGCAAAGTGTTAACAGAGCATAGTTTATGTTTCCGAGAGAGGAGCGGTAATTTGTTTCCGAAAAAAAGGTAAAGCAATCAACAAGTCGAATAACAACAAAATATGATCCACATATATATGTCTGGAAAATCGACAATAAATTGATGGATTTGTTAGTTTTGCAATGATTTAAAGGGTTTTAGAAAGACAAGTTATTGATCGTTGTTGTTCTCTGGAGATTAATTATGAAAAGTTTTGGTAAAAAGAAAAATGTGTGTTTTTAACATAAAAATTAATGTTGGTGATGACAATTGTTTCTTGTGAGAAAAAAATAATTTGAAAATGAAAAATGTGCAATTTTGTTGAGGGGCACAATAAAATACACATTTCGTTACTCAAATGCTACTGAAAGAAAAATTCATGAACATTTTTTAAATATATCCAAAACAGGTTCATACCTTTATTTCGACATATACGACTTTGCCATATCCCATGGGTCCTAAAAATTCGAAACTAGTGAAATATGGTAAAACGACATTATTGGAAAATGTTTTAAGAATTTTCCTATAACTCTTGTTGGAAGTATGTGATTTGGTCCACTTCAATTTCATTTTGAATAATTTTTGAAAAAAAAAAACAAGTTAAAAAGCAGTAAGTTCGGCCGGGCCGAACTTTGAATACCCTCCACCATTTGCAAGGAATTTGGAATTTTTTCAAAAAATAAAATCTTTAAAAAATTCTGTTAAAATTTTAAAAATACCGAATATATCCGTTATATTGTGGTCTATACGATATGGACATACATAGGCATTGTTTGTCATAAGCCATTACCATATTCAAATTTGAAACTTGAAATTAACGATGAATAATGTAGCTAAAATCATCAAAATATGGTATATAAGGAGGTGCCGTTAAATTGGAGCTGTGCGAAGACCTGGACCAGCATAGACAATTTTCTGTCACAGGCTGTAGCATCCATTACGAACTTTAAATACCACATCTCAAACAATTTCGGTGGGTATTGTACCTAAAATCGTCAAAATACCGAATAAAAGGAGGTACTGATATATGGGGCCTATACGAAGACCTGGACCCGCACAGACAATTTTCTGTCACAGACTGTAGTTCCCATAACGAACTACAAATACCAATTTTGAAGCAATTCCGGAGAATAATGTCGCTAAAATCATCAAAATACCGAATATCGGGAGGTACCGTTATATGGGGGCTATATGAAAACGTGTACCTACATGGCCCATTTACGAGCTTAACCTGCCTACTGGAAAAATAAACATGTGTGCAAAATTTAAGCCATCTATCTCAATTCATTCGAAAGATAGCGTGATTACAACAGACATACAGACGGACGGACAGACAGACGGACATCGCTATATCGACTTAGAATTTTACGCTGATTAAGAATATATATACTTTGTTGGGTCTGACATGAGTATTTCGAGGAGTTACAAACGGAATGACATTGTTAATATACCCTCCGTAGTATGGTGGAGGGTATAAAAACCCCATAAAATTCTTCCGTTTCTCCAAACTTCACGTATCTCAATAGCTACCAACCTAAGATAGTGTTGAAATATAATATGTCAGTACACTCGTGACTTTGGAAACTATTTGAAAAATATAAATCATGAAGAAATTGAATATCCGGCCATGTTTTCCATATTTTTGACTGGTGTCTCTGTTTTTTGAATCCTACGTTGATCAAGTCTCAGAATTTACAATGCTCAGAATTTACAATGCTGATTTCTATACCTCTCCCACAAGTTACCAAGTAATAGTGAATCTCTTAAAGGACCAAAGAGCCTATATTTATCCAAATGTTATATATTGCAATATTTTTGTCAAAGTATCTCTCACACAGTCTGGTACATCTTTCAATATATGATAGAATATATCCGTCAATTTCCTTTGATATCTCTTAAGCTATAAAAACCTCAACAACTTTGAGAACATTAAATTGGGAAAGAACGGTTACTTGGGGCTATACAAAACGTTGCTAGTGAGAATCTTAATATTTATATAGAATTCGAAATACCAAATAACTTTCGATTCTGCTCTAAAGCTAGTTAAAAAATGCCTTAACTTGGTTAAAACCATTATAATTGGATTAAACTTCAACATGGACTTGGGCTGAGAAATATAAAACGAACGAGTAAAGAAGGACTTAAAGTCGGTCGGGGCCGACTTTATGATACCCTACACCACTTTGCTAATTTAGTAGAGCTCCACATAACAATTAAAAGTTTTTTTATGGGAGAATTTAATCATACACGGTATGATTATAATTATAATTTAAAGTTCAAAAGTCGAAATATGCCGAAGCATTTGTATCTTTTATGTTCGGACTTGTATTGCCCATTTGATATATATGGGAGCTATATTCAAATCTGAACCGACCTTTATAAAATTTGGCAAAGATATTTCTGAGCTGTATTTCATATATTTATTGAATATTGTTGTTACGGAGTACATATTACGGCTGCGGAGGACTAAAATTACAAATCGGATGAACAATATATATGGGAGCTATAGCTATATCTGAGCCGATCTTCACCAAATTGACATAATACTTTCTAGACTCAATTCGGTCGTAAGTGCCAAATTTCATCCCATTTGGGCAAATATTAGACGTTTGGTGCACAATAAAAGGTAAATCAGACGAAGTTATTTATGGGAGATATATCCAAATCCGAACCGATCTCGATAAAATTTAGCAAAGGTATTTCTGAGCTGTATTTGATATATTTCCCCAAATATTGTTGTTACAAAGTGCATATTACGGCTGCGGAGGACTAAAATAAAAAATCGGATGAACAATATATATTGGAGCTATAGCTATATCTGGAGCTTTTTTTTCACACTTATTTTCAGGCCTAATTTGGTTGTATGTGCAAAATTCCATACTATTCGGGCTAATATTACACGTTTGGTGCACAATAAAAGGAAATTCGGATGAAGATATATATGGGAGCTATATCTAAATTTTTACCGTTTTTCTCCAATTTCAATAGGGTTCGTCCTTGGACCGAACGAATGATTTGTACAAAATTTCATCTGTATCGAGTTATAAATGCGAACTGTTCTTTGTTCACAAAAATACATGGACAGACGGACGGACATGCATAAATCGACTCAGAGTGTGATTCTATGCAGATCATCAAAAGGAACTATGGGTCTATCTCGTTTCCTTCTGCCTGTTACAAACAAATGCACAAAGACATTATACCCTGAACACCTTGTGGTGTAGGCTATAAAAATATTTACTTATTATAATTTCTCATTTTACTATTATTTCCCTTATAAAACAAGATTTATCTTACATTTGCATAGAATAAGAATAGAGATCCTATACTAAACATTTTTATAGAATTACTAGCTGAATCCTATGATTTTATATGTATTCAAAATTTAATATGCGAATATTTGTTGGTTTAGAAAAATAAAACAATTTTAAAAATTTAAATTAATAAAAAACGTAATTATTGCATCAAATATTTGAAATCGTCCGAAAATATATATAGGAGCTATATCTAAATCTGTACCGATTTCAATATAATTTGACAAACTTATTTTCTGAGCAAATCCCATCATCACATATTCCAAATTTCATTGAAATCGAACATAGATTTGGTGTTTGGTGCATCAAATAAACGAAATCGGCTGAAAATATATATGGGAGTTATGTCCAAATCTGAACCGATTTCAATGTAATTAAGCAATTTTATTTTTGTTCCAAATTCCGTTACGCATTCCAAATTTGAAGACTGTATCTATAAACGATCAATAGACATGTGCATCCAAAACCTAAATTTTCTGGAGGTACCTCCGATTCTTATACTATATTCCCAGTTCCAAGTTGAATTTTTAAAATTTATATAGCCTGTGTTACTTTAAGGCGATGCTGTAGTATATATTGAAATTCTCAGGAAAATCTGTGCATCAGTTTTCGAGTCCATAGATTACAGGGCAATATCGGTTCTGGGACCTTTCCCACAAACATTTTAAAAAAGGAATAATACAAGTATACAACTATACAACGACGTGGACCTGCATAGGCAACTTTTGTCAAAAGCCATTACAATATTAAAATGCGAAACTTAAAAAAACCGGTGAGTAATGTAGCTAAAATCATCAATATAGGGCTATACCAAAATATACCAAAATGTGGACCTGGGCCTCAATTCTTGTTCTATGAAAATGTGAAATGAAAACTTTTATAAGGGAAAGAAATGTCAAATGAAAATTATTATAGAGAAAATATTTTTTTCTTCATACTTTCATAGAACAAGAATCCAGCCCCTGCACAGACAATTTTCTGCCTTAGGCTGCAGTATCCATTACGAACTTCAAATTTGAACCAAATTTGAAACAATTCCGGTAAATAATGTCGCTAAAATCAACAAAATACCGAATATAGCGTGGTACCGTTATATGGGGGCTATACCAAAACATGGACCTACATGGCCCCGTGTGTCAGATTCAGCTCGGAAATACCTCTGCCAAATAGCTAATACAATTTTTTTAAAGTCATATTATTCATTCTATAGCAATATTATTTTGTGCGAGAGGTACAAGTGTCTCCTTCAAATTTAGTGGAAATCGAGTCAGAGTTTAATATATATCGCTCTGATTCCAATTTATAAGTAATTTCAACCACCTTTTTTAAGAAATATTTTTCAAATTTGGTATTTAAAACTTGCTTTAGATAACAACCCCTGTAGCGGGAAACTGGTCCCATCGCTTTACGGTATGTTAAATATTTTTATACCCTCCACCATACTATGGAGGGTATATTAACGTTTGTAACTCCTCGAATTACTCATGTCAGACCCAACAAAGTATATATATTCTTGATCAGCCTAAAATTCTAAGTCGATTTAGCCATGTCCGTCTGTCTGTCTGTCTGTCCGTCTGTCTGTTGTAATCACGCTATCTTTTGAACGAATTGGGATAGAAGGCTAAAATTTTGCACACGTGTTTATTTTTTCAGTAGGCAGGTTAAGTTCTTAAATGGGCCATGTAGGTCTACGTTTTCATATAGCCCCCATATAACGATACCTCCCGATATACG